AGAGAGCTTGGTCCTTGGATGGGGGTGATACATGGAGAGAAATCTTGACATTGGTGTAAGWAGGTCAGTAGTGGCAAAAGCGGTGCCTGAGCCCTTCTTGACCCTGAGACTAGATGAGTGTGAGGAGTGGGAGAGTCCCAAGGCTAGGGGCCTTCCTCTATTTGCATCACAAGGCCCTGGCAGCCTTCCTGCTTCTACCCTACTGAGGGTGAGAATGGATTAGGAGTATTTTTTGTTCTATAGCCTGTGGTTGGGGTTCTTAGGGTACTCTAATCTAAGCTGAAGCCCAGTGAGCTGAAGATGAAAAACAAACTTAATGAGCCTTTTAGGGAGCCTTGTGTTCCCAATGTGATCTTATTTGGGAACTGTTTTTTTAAAATATTTTTTTTAGTAGTAGTTGGACATAATATCTTTATTTTTATTTGTTTTTATTTTTACGTGGTGCTGAGAATTGAACCCAGTGTTTCACAAGTGCTATACTAGTGCTCTCCCACTGAGCTACAACCTCAGCCCTAGGAATTGGGTCTATTATGCCTGATTCATGGGATCCCAGTAGACCTCCAGGAGCCAAATCCGATACAATCACTCAAGAGTCTTTATTGCAAGCTGGAGCCTGGACTCACAACCATTCCCATTGCAGTGGTCCCAGGGAGTGAGCCCCGGTCCTTTGTTCAGTGAGATTTTATAGGTTTGGGGGGGCATACTCTATGCGTCACAACATCACACAGCAAATCATTCCATACCGCCGGGAAAGTCAAACAACAACTCTTAACATTGATTAGCACATTCACTGGCAGGAACAAGTTGAGTAGAGGTGATTGGTCAATGCAAGAGGGGGATTCCTTTGAACTGATTGGTTTAGGCCAAGAGAGGTGTGCATGCTAAACTACATGGTTTCCCAACATGTTATCAACCACCATAAACTACTTGGGGGTCATCTGGCATTCCAGGTTTTTTTCCCTGTCTCATGCTGATTGGAGGTTGCTAGGGGGGTTGCTATGGGCCCTCACCTAGCCTAACTGAGTCAGGGACACCTGGCGCCCAGCAGACGTCTCCTGTTATTTACAGACAAACAACTCAGAAGGGTGGGTATGTGCTTAGGAGTGCTCTGTGGGTTTTTCCAAGGACAAGGGTCACACCCCCTTCCTTAGGACAGGCCTTGAGGTAGAAACTCTGTTATTTATTTATTTTTAAAAATGGAGTCACATTAGTTTCTCAGGTCTTTATTGTCATCAAGTTAAGATGAAGTTATACTTGATTGGGGTGACCCCTGAATCCAATGACCTGTCATAAGAGAGATGGAGATTTGGAGACAGATGGATACACAAGGAGGGAAGATGGTGTGAGATGGAGGCAGAGATGGAGTGATGTGTCTGCAGGCCACAATGTGGCAAGGATTGCTGCCAACTACCACAAGCCAGAAAGATGCACAAAGATTTTTTCCTAGAACCTTTAAAAGAAGGTTGATACCTTGATTCCAGGCTTCTAAGCCTGGGAGAGAATACATTAAGTTATACAAGTTGTTAGAGCAGCCTTGGGAAACTAATACAGGTCCAAGAGCAGAGGGAAGATCAGTCAAAATAGGTGGGACACACACCTAGCACAAGAGAACTGCGGGAAGAGACAACTGTCAATCTGAATTTTAAAAAGAACATTAAACTGCAGTCCCCGAAACACTT